CAATCTTTTTGACTCTGAGAGATGTGGCTAGAGACAGGATTTGAACCGGGGTGGATTTGTTGGAGTCCTGACAGCCAGCCGATACTAAAATACATCATTCGCTTCCCCCCCCCCCCCGACCCTTGATACACCCCCCCCCCCAGATGTATATTCTCACAGGTGAGCCGAGAGCTTCTGCACGTGGCAGCCAGGTAGAGTGGAGTCTGCAGCTGCCCAAGGCTGGCTCCTCCTTGGGGGCAGCCCCACCTCTCCCTTCCCAACGGCCCCCCTCCCCTTCCCCTCCCCCCCCGGCAGACCCTCACCTCCTCGTCCTGTCTGTATTCGTTGGCGGTCTGGACGCGGTTGATGCCTTGCAGGCTGATTTCCAGGTCACAGGTGGACGGAGGCCTCAGGTGGACGGTCAGCTTCCGGGTGGTGGCAATCTGCAGAGAGGGGCAGAGCGGGGCTCAGCCCTGCCCGGGAGACCCTTCCCCGCGGGACTCACACACAGGGGAGCCTACGCCTATTCGCTGGGGGAGGCTAACGTGGGAGCACCCGTGTTAAGCACCACGCAAGGGCTCCTTCCAGGCTGGGCTCGGCCCAGGGCCTCCAGCAAGCCATCGCCTGGGCTGGAAGGAGACAGACAGCCTTGGAAAAGGACTGGCAGGCAGGGGAGGCCAAGGGGTCAGTATCTACACACGAAGACTGGAGAGAAATTGGCCAGAGAAGGTTCGGACATTGGGAGGAGCCCGGCGCCAGGAATGGGCCACTTCTAGCCAGGTTTCAAATGAAGAAGCTTCAACAAAAATAAAACACGGGCAAACAACCGCTCCAAACTCGACTGCGGAAAATACGACTTCAGCCACAAAGGGGTCAACATCTGGAATGCCCGACCTGACTCTGTGGTTACAGCCTCAACCCCTCTCAGCTTCAACCTCAAACTGTCTACCGTGGACCTCCCCCCATTCCTAAGAGGTCCTTCAAGGGGGCGTGCATAAGCGCACCAGGGTGGCCACCGTCCCTGTCCCACTCTCCTCATTTATCTGTATTTACTCCCCTGGCTTATGTCCCTACTTATCCTTGTTATCTGGTACATGTCTGACAAACAAATAAAATAAAAATAAAAATAAAATGGGAGTCTGACCCAGCCCCAGACCCCTCTGGCCCTGGTCTCCCAAGGAGCAAAGACTGGACAGAACTCGACCAGATCCAGAGCAACCACGGCAGTTACTGCCAATATTGGCAATACAAAGGTTGGCTGGTCATAGTGACGGGCACCGTGGGAACATCCCACAAACGTTACATCGCATTGCGGCAGAAGGCCCCCCCCAGAAGGTACCCTGCTGGGACATTATCTCGAGGGCAGTGCTGCCCAATGGCTAAGCAATCTGAAGATCCGGCCATAGGCTTAGCCACTCTAGTAACTGCTCCTACATACTTTTATTTTACTTATAATTTAATTCATCCTTACTATTGGGCCTTTTTAAAAATAATTCACTGTAATCCCAAAGGGACTCATTCAAAAGGCAAGTGAACATTCTTGGGTTCTTGAAGACATTTCACTTCTTACCCAAGAAGCTTCTTCACTTCTGGAGAAGTACTTCGGTTCTTCAGAACTGAGGAAGCTTTTTGAATGAGAAGCGAAACGTTTTCCAAGAAAAAAAAAACTTAAGAAAGCCCAGTTGCCTTTTGGAGAAGGACCTTTGGAGCAGCCGTGACCTGGATGACGGAGACTCTCCACAGACATTCAGCCTAATGGGGTTTTGGAGTTTGATACACATTTAACATGCTGTTCTTGTGAATTTTATGCCCCAACGCCGTGCTCTGTAACCCCCATACGGAATAAATAAGACTTAAAAAGTCGGAAGACGGCTGCTGGGAATGTGGCTGTTGCGCTGCACTGACTCCCGCTTAGGGTTGTGCAGGCCCGGCCCCGCTAAGGCAGCCTGGGTACACACACACCCCCTCAGCACCCCACAGCACTCACCTTCTGCATGGCTGCGCACAGGATGCCGTTGCCCTGGTGGTAGGGCACCTCCACCGAGCCCAGGAACTGCACATTGAAGTGCTCCACCCAGCAGGGGTTCCGCTTCAGCCCTGCGAGGAATGCCCACAGTCACCGCTGCAGAGACCCTTCCCCCAACTCTGGCACACACACACACACACACACACACCCCTGATGGAGGGCCACACCCAAAATGGGGATGAGTCTGGCAGGAAGCCCAGGACGTCTCTGGCAGGGGCTACGGGACCCCTCTCTCTTTTGGGCCAGGTTCTACCCTCTTCCTCTCCTTTGGGGCACCAACTGAAAGAGGGGCAGGTCCCCAGCCCCGCTCCCTCCCCCAAGTCTCCATCCTGCTTTGCAAGGCTGCTTTTTTTTGGCTGCAAAGGCCTTGCGGGAGAGAGCTCCGTTTCCATCTCACGTCACAAGGAACTGAACGTGCCAAAACTACGGATTTGGTACTTAAATATGAGCCAAAACGGCAAATACAGTCCTGGGTTGTGTAGACAGAGAGGCATAGAATCACAACCACGTGAAGTGTTTGTACCGCTTTATAAAACCCTAGTGAGGCCACACCTGGAATAATGCAACCAATTTTGGTCACCA